AAGTCAACAAGGCCGTCTACAGCAGCGATGGCAGTGGACAAAATCATCTTACCCTTGCCTACACAACTCGACCTGTACCCAGCCTTGTAGTTAAAGAGTTTGTCTTCTTCTAACATGTTCTTGATGTCCAGCATCAACGAACCAAACTCCTTCACGTAATCATGAACAGTTCCGGTGTGTTTTAATTTCTTGAGTGAATCACTAGCAATCCATGTCGTACTGCTAGGGAGGAATTGATCCTTCAACTCCTTTTTTAGGGTCTCCCATGTTTCGATCTTTGCACGCCCAACAGATACATTGTCCTCGTTCCAGGTTTTCCACCATAACTTAGCGTCACCAGAAAGATACATACTGATAATTGTCACCTTTTCTACATCAGGCACATGGGCAGCTTTGAAGTACTGCTCCATGTCCCATAAGAAATTCTCTAGATCCTTGGCGCTTTGAGTGCCTTTAAAGGCCTTGGTTCTGGGACTTTGATTTTTGAAGATGTCTCGCCCACAGTAGGTCGAGAATTCATGGCCTTCTTCACCAGGGACATTTGGTCTTTAAGACCTTTAGATTGGTTTTGACAGCATCTGTGAGGGACAAAATGTCCTCCATTATCATTGTAAGCTTTGCATCGGTGTTGGCTACATAGTTATCAAAAGCCATCTATAAACCAGCAATCTGAATAGCGTTTTGCTCCATCTGCACAACCACCATGATTGCAACATCACTTTCAAGGGCGCCCAAAAAATCTTTGGGATGGGTCACACATTCTCACAATTCAGTAGCGTTTCCACTAGCCATGGTCGTAAATTGAAGCTCTGATACCAATTGTCACAAGGTTAATTTCTCACCAAATTTTTGCCTTGTGATGGAACTGAGATCCTACACTCAGTCTAATCTAAGTACTTAAAATGCTCACAGAATGCACACATGAATAGAGTAGGGACAGTAAGTAAACATACACATAACACACAAGCTTTACAGGCCAATTGGCCAAACCTTTCTTTCTTAACAAAGTATAAGGAAACCCAGTTTTGGGTCTACTTACAAAAATGTGTCCAACTCTCTTGGTTGCACTGCAGACCCAGACATGCCTATTTATAATATTTAAGGTGGTAGTTACAAGCCCAACCGCCTAGACAACTACATAACAATTCAAATCCGCCCCACAAGTTTGCTGATACTGACTAACACCTTCAACCACTCCCTTTATTATGTTGGTCATGGCAGAGGAAGTTGCAACTGGTGGCTGACACAGCCAACAACTGCCTGCATGTTGTGTACACATGACAGAGACTCCTACATGTTGTGTACCTACCAGCAACTGCACAAAACTATCGCCATCTGCGGGGCACATGCCATAACATCCTCACATGTTGTGCATGTGCCTTTCTCATGAGTCCTTAACATCTGATTGTCTTGCATTCGTGTCTAGCCATGCCCAACCCATGGCTTAGTCCTACAGACTAGCATTTTCCCATAATTCAAACCACTTGGCTACCTTGCTTTCATGCTTTCTTATGATCATGTGCTCATGCATGTGCTGCCTCACTCAACCATGCATGGGTTTTCAATTAGCCTACTGATTGTGTCCAATCAAGCCCACCATGCCTATGCATGGGCTACCTCCTTCAGCCATGCATGGCTTCTGCTAACTTTGCACAAGGGTATACTTCGTCTAAGTATAACCCAATTTGGCTAAGGCAGCCGGCCTTTGGGGGAGGCAGCCACATGTCAATGTTGCCAATGAGCTAAGGGGGTAACAGTAGGCATTTTGAATTTTGAGTGCAGAGATTAGTTGACAACATCTGCCACAAAATGAATGTGAGTGCGCCTTACTAGGTAGTCCACCATTTCTGGTGCTTGTGCCTTGATGGCGTTGAGGGTATTGTCAATCTGGTTTTGCACCCCCTTAATCTTTCTATCCCACTGGTTAGGGACACCCTCTGTTGGTTTATGTTAGTATCTCTTATGATGCGCATACTGGTTTTCCCCCTCATCCTCTTGCTCTAGATAGTCGATAGTGTATGGAGGTAGAACAAGTACCTGAGGAGGAGGAGCATGCGAGACGCCTAGGCGCTGAGTGGGGACTCCCTAGTGAAGGGTGCTTGGGCGTTGCATGGGGGCACCTTGTTGCCCTATGGGGAAAGGGTGTGGGTCCTCTCCTATTAGAGTGAGTGCAGCTCCTACTACTTATTAGGGGATAACGCCTCTTAAGGCAAACATTAGTTAGAGAATTTGCTGGTTTTGGCTCACCAAGAACTACATGGTCTCTAAAAGCTATTGCCCGACCACAGGATTTGTCGCAATGACCACAGGATTCGACGCAGTAAATGGTTTTGCTGGTGGAGGCGGAGGCGAAGCCCCTTTTCGACTAGCCAGGTCATTGTTTTCGGGTTGTTGATTCATCGATCTGGTTGTGATGGCCATGGATTTGAAAGAAACTAGAAAGGTAGTAGAAAAGTTAGTCATTTCTCACAGACGACGTCAAACTGATGATGCACAAAATAGGCGATGTACAATCAACAATCAAGTATACGATGCAGGGCAATTAATGAAGAAATTAATAGCAAAAGACAAAGAATGGGTGGTTGGACCGAGGTGACCTAACCATTGAAGACAGAAACAATGGCCAAAAAATTTTATTTATAAAGTAGTAAGTGGAGAGAGAGAGAGAGAGAGAGAGAGAGAGAGAGAGAGAGCAAGGGCAAGCTTTAGGTAGATGAGGTAGCTATGAGAGAGATAGCTATGTGTGAGAGATGTAGAGATCAATAGGTATGTCCCTTACACCAAACCTTAGCTGAGGCGGTGGTCATGAAAGGTAGGTTACTAGTTTTTCGGGGAAGATAACTAAAATTACGAAAAGATACAATTAGAAATAGTTTTGATCTTTGATAGTGACTATCCCGATAATTGCTCTCCACGTGCGCTAATTTCTTGGGTCCCTTGAATCTTGAACTGGGCTAAGGCTATGAACTGGACTTGACCTGCCTTTTAGTTAATTTGGACCTACCTCATTAATTGGATTTGGACCCAACTAGATCTGGGCTCATCAATGACCGCAATTCTCTTTTCATTCACTAAAGACACAAGACATTAATCCACTAATTTTCTCTATTTTTTAAATAGGTAATGTTAGGGTAGAACCCATATATGATTTCTCAATTTTGTGGGTAGCAACAATGAATTAGGTTTTATTGTTTTATAATTTAATTTTTTTTTTTAAATTTCAAGCTTGTATTATTTTTTTATTATAGAAATGTTTGGTTGATTGATAAATATAATAATTATAAAATAAACATTTATATAGGAAAAAATTTGAAAAAGAAAAGTTTTAAAAATTATTTGAATTTAAAAAAAAAAAATCTTCTTAATAGAGTCTCACTTGAATTTATTATACATGATTCACGACAGAGTGAAATTGAGTAAAATATAACGAGGAAGATATTTTGTTTAATTGGAAAATGGTTTCATAATTGCCATTGTTTTGGTATGTTGAGTGAGAAACCATAGAAGCTGCCTGAGAGCTAGGACCAACTAACTGGTGTCCTTGTGAGTTGTGAGGGAATCTATAGTATATTCTATAACAAGTTACAGCTTAATAATTGTAGATAATGTCATAAACTAAAGAAGACAGTGTGAAAACCAATAAATTAAGAGAATGCATTCTGTAGTGGAAATCCCAAACGGCCCCTATGTTATTCCCACTGGTGATAGGTGGTTGTGCCTAATCAATGTTTGCTCATTTATGAATAAGCTTGGTGTGCCCAACATTCCTTGCTACAATGATTAGCAACCAGTTATATCAGGAAGATGTGGCTAAAGTATAACCGTTAAACGAATCAATCATTGAATTCTAGCTCAGACTGAAAAAAATGAATAGAGTTGGGTCGAATTTGAGTATATCTAGAAGCTGATCGAGCTGAGTTTGAGCTACAAAAACAAGTTTGAAAAAACGATATTGAACTTGAGCATACCAAAACAAAGAAGACTCGGGGTTCGATTAACATCTCTGTCCTCGAGAAATATCAAAGATGAGGATAAAAGTTTATGTAGTTCACACACATGCTGGTTTTATTGTATATAAAATTTTCCACAGATTGTCAGAACACTAGTACTTTGCCCTAACTCTCTGATTTATTCTATATATTCGAGCACATTTTAAAGAAACAGTGCAATTAGAAAACACATCATAGGGAAAAATGACAATATCATAGCAATCCTATGTATAAACATCCAAAATGTAATGGACGTTTAGGTAGGTGACAATAAACCAACACCAAGGACAGACAAGGGTCTTTGTCACCTGAATACACGACGCGGACTCATCACCGACACCTATCCTCTTCATGGCTGGCAGCCAAGCCTAGCCTACCTGGTACGAGAAGGCCAAGACAACTATGCACATCACCAGATTCGGGAACAAGACCATATGCTATGTCCAAGAATTGAACACCAACTTCAGTACCCTTATGGCCGACTGACTGTACGAAATTCTTGTCACCAGTGCATTTGAAAATAGTAAGATGTATGTACAGCAACCAAGGCCAACAAGGTTGGAAAGTCTCACAAAATTTGGTTTGATGTGATGAAAGCAATTGCCCGGAAGAAGAGTAAACATTACTAGTGTAGCTGTAAACTGATAATTATTACTTTGATACCTATTCTACTGATCATGCTTGAGAAGCACTACTGCTTCAGCCTGAATCTTCCCAAGAAACTTGAGAGAGAGAGAGAGAGAGAGAGACTTGCCTGATACTCAGATCACACCAACCATAGCACTAAAAACTTTTTTAATACAAGGAAATTAGATCTAACAACCATTGCATAGACTAGGGTATTAATAGCCCATCAGATAAGCCGGTATAATAAAAGCATCAAAATGACTCGGTGATGCAAACTAGATGAAAAAAAAGAATGCTTTTTCCCAACTTTTCCATGTATTAAGCAATGACAGACACCATTTCTACAACCAAAAAAATAAAAAAGATAACCCCCGTCAGGTAGCTTGAATTGGAAAGCTTCAATATTACTATCTCGAGATACCAAATTCAAGTGTTATATGAGAACTTTGAATTGTCCGCCACAGGTGATTATACATGGCTGTGCATATCTAAGTTATCTTGAAACCACAACCTGTGGACTTTTTTCACTGGCATAATAAGAAATTTAAGGGACTGTTATTTCTGAATTCTAATCCAAGAACATATACAAGGTGGAGGGAGTACAATTTTTAGCACCGTACTTGCCGATCGAACAAGAACTTCATCTCATATTTATTGCAACAAAATCTAACAAGAAACTGAATTGGATCTTTGCAAGGAAGAAGATGAGTTAATGAACTCAATGCAATCATCTATGGCTTCAGCCCTGTGAGAATCAACTGGAGCAACGCATGTCTTTGCCTTTTGTGAGGAGGAAACTTTTGGAGACCCTCTCCTCCGCCTCGACACCAATCGCAGAGCTGCCGCCATCTTGTGACCAACGTGTTTGAGATATTTCATAGGTGACAATTCTGATCTTTTGGGCAGCCTGAAAGTGCTGCAATTTCCGGTGAACCTCGATTTGGTGCCTCCTCCTTCTCTTTTACTAGAGCTTCGTTGGGTAAACATAGTCGTTGTCTTCTCATCAATATCTGATCTCACACAAACTCGTCCAATGCCTCCCACCGACATCTAAATAGAAAATCAGTAACGGAGGAGACAGAAAGAGATTTTTTTTTTTTTTGGGGGGGGGGGGGGGGGGGGGGCGGGCATTGATTATGGACTCAAGATGGTAAATGGTGGGCTTAAATGGCAAAATGAAGACAGGACAAGAAAATGATACGAGAATGAAAAGACAAAAGGATTACTAGGCACTTCACAGTTTGATGCTCCACATTTACCGTAAAGACACTTTCCAGGAATAGTAAATTGTAAAGGAGGTGATGATACTTAGGGCAATTCTTAAGTATAAGCTTGGCAGTGGAGGTCAGACGCACAGAGCTCGGAGCTCATAAAATCAGAGTAAAGCACCGTCCAATCGAAGCAGCAGCGGAAGTAATAAAGAGATAACTATTTGTCAACAGAAACCCTAGAGACAATTAAGAGTCATAATCGAAGCATAAAACTCTCATCCAAAAAAGATCTCCTCCTAAGAGTAAGGAGGATTTCTCGGATAAATGACAAAGATCTCGGGGTGGATCCCGCAGAATTAGGAAAAGCCTTATAAATATTATGTAACGCCCCCAACAGAGGGGCAGAACCTTAGTATCACATCTTATATTCTGTAAACCTTTTGATATAGTAAATAGTGAAGGAAAGAGCAAAAATCTTCATTGAAGAGTGAATTAGCCGAGCTCTCGAACTGGTGAACCACTATATTTCTACTGTGTTAATTCCCCAACTCCGCAACAATTCTCAGTATCATACTCTCGAGTTTAGTAGCTCAGATCCCAATAATTCCAATATTATTTCTTTTATTAACTCGTCATCACAAAATTATATCACGCTGAAATAAACTATCAGTTTGGCGCCGTTTGTGGGAAACGACTGTTCCTGTTATAAATCAACTGATCTTTCAGTGACTAATGGTATCAATGCGAAACATGAGCCGAAGTCAGACAAATCCACCACGGATACAAGATCAACAAGAAGCTACTAATAGCAGACAACCTGAGAACGTTCAAGAGACCAATTCACCCGTGGGGGGTCTCCCCATGAATAACGAGATGGAAGCTCTTCATCTCGTCAATTAACCCTTGTTGAAACAAAACAAAAAACTCTTAAAGCTCTTACAACGCCCGCAAGAAGCGCGACAAGCTCAAGAAGACCAGAACAACCCACCACCTAGGGAGCAACCACACCTCGACCCCCTCAGGGAAGTCAACAAAGAAGAGGAAAATAGCCAAACTATGGGGCCAGAACCTCGCATACTCCCTAGGAATGGACATAACGAAGAAGTACAAAGTCAGAATGACTGGGGTGAGAAGAACGATTTTTTCCCCTATCAACAGGAAAGGAGAGAACGGTACTGGGAGCAACGTTTCCAGGGTATCCAGCAAGAACTCAGCCACATGAAGAAAGCCATGAGAGGCAAGGCTCCAGTTACGATGGATGCCTTGGTACAACAGACTGAATCTCCGTTCACCACTGGCGTGCTGCATTTTTCCCTCCCTCTGAAATTCAGAGTACCGCAGATAGAGGCTTTTGATGGAACAAAGGATCCTGTAGATCACCTCAACACTTACAAGAACCAGATGGAGTTGCATGGATACCAGGATCTAGTGCGCTGCAAAGCCTTTGCCATCACACTGAAAGGCTCAGCCCTAGAGTGGTTCAATAGGCTCCCCCTACCTCAATTTTCTCCTTTAAGGAGCTATCTATATCCTTTGTATCTCACTTCATAGGAGCTCAAATGTACAGAAAGCCGAGTTACCACCTGTTGAATGTGAAGCAAGGACCCCAAGAGAACCTCAGATCCTATGTTCAGAGGTTCAACTCTGAATCACTAAAAGTGGATGTTTCAGACGAGAAATTTGTCATTATTGCATTCATAGCTGGTTTAGGCGTACAATCTAAAGACCTGATATTCTCTATTTTGAAAAATTCCCAGGCCAGCATGGCCGAAGTACTGGCCAAGGCAGAAAAGTACATAAACGGCGAAGAAGCTCTCCTTTCAAAAGTGGGGAGCTCATCCATACAAAAAGACAAAGGGAAATAAGAGAAAAAGAGGGACCAAAGCCCCAGAAGAGAAAAAAGGATGAGATAGGTCCCCAATGAGAGACAGAGATCGATCCCCCAAAAGAAGGGGAAACGTCAGAGATCACTTGGGACCACCTCATCCAGAGTTGCAACTGAGGTAACACACCTCGGTAGGTCCCTCCACTCACCGCACCAATTTCGCAAATCTTGTATGAGGTACAAAACAAAAAATTCCTAAGGTGACACCCCAGATGAAAGCAGACCCGGCGAAAATTTTACTCCGCTCTTGGAATGCATAACATCTTAGGAAATTTTTTCAAAATTTTTTAGTAAGTTTGTCCTGTAATATGATTATTAATAAAGCAGCAAGTCTATGGTTCATTCACTCTTACGAAGAGCCCGGGAGCTCACAACGAACTCATTAGTCTGTAATAAGAGCCTTAGAGCTCACAATGAACTTGTTAGTTCATAAAAAGAGCCCGGGAGCTCACGACGAACTCATTAGTCTGTATTAAGAGCCTTAGAGCTCACAATGAACTTGTTAGTTCATAAAAAGAGCTCAAGAGCTCACGACGAACTCATTAGTCCATAATAAGAGCCTTACAGCTCACGATGAACTCGTTAGTTCATAAAAAGAGTCTTGGAGCTCACAGCGAACCCATTAGCCCATAATAAGAGCCTTAGAGCTCACGCTAAACTCATTAGTTCATAAAAAGAGCCCTGAAGCTCACGATAAACTCATTAGTTCGTAATAAGAGCCCCAGAGCTCACGACGAACTAATTAGTCCGTAATAAAAGCCTTAGAGCTCACGATGAACTCATTAGTTCATGAAAGAGTCCTAGAGTTCACGATGAACTCGTTAGTTCATAAAAAGAGCCCTAGAGCTCACGACGAACTCGTTAGTTCATAAAAAGAGCCCGAGAGCTCACGACAAACTCATTAGTCCGTAATAAGAGCCTTAGAGCTCACGATAAACTCATTAATTCACAAAAAAGAGCCCTGGAGCTCACGACGAACTCATTAGTCCGTAATAAGAGCCTTAGAGATCACGATGAACTCGTTAGTTCTTAAAAAGAGCCTTGGAGCTCACGATGAACTCGTTAGTTCATAAAAAGAGCCCTAGAGCTCGCGACGAACTCATTAGTTCTTAATAAGAGCTCCGGAGCTCACAACAAACTCATTAGTTCGTAATAAAAGCCTTAGAGCTCACAATGAACTCATTAGTTCATAAAAAAGGTCATAGAGCTCACGATAAACTCGTTAGTTCATAAAAAGAGCCCTGAAACTCACGACGAACTCGTTAGTCCGTAATAATAGCCTTAGAGCTCACGATGAACTCGTTAGTTCATAAAAAAAGCCCTGGAGCTCACGACGAACTCATTCGTCTGTAATAAGAGCCTTAGAGCTCACGATGAACTCGTTAGGTAATAAAAAGAGCTCTGTAGCTCACGACGAACTCGTAAGTTCATAAAAAGAGCTTTAGAGTTCACGATAAACTCGTTAGTTCATAAAAAGATCCATGGAGCTTATGACAAACTCGTTAGTTCATAAAAAGAGCCCTGGAGCTCACGTTAAACTTATCAGTCCATAAAAATAGCTTAGTAGCTCAGGACGAGTTCTTTTGTCCCTAAAGCGAACACAACAGCTCAGAATGTGCTTCCCGATCTAGAAGAACTAAAAGCAAGACCTGCAGCACATAGACTAGAAGGAAAGCTTCACAGTTTCTATCCATTACAAAAAGTAAAAATGGGGGTCTTTGGTCCACAAGCCAGGAAACGACATGGAAGATCAGCTGCCAAATTCTCAAAGCCACAAATTGTGTGTTAGAAGCGGGAAACATGGAAAGGAAAAATCAAGGTTTCAAGAACATCAAAGATTACAAAAAAAATCAATCAAAGCAAAATTCCTAGTTGTCTCTGCAGTTCGGCTATCCTCTCTTTCAAACGCAGGTTCTCCTCCTTCAGCTCATCCCTCTCCTTCTCAGTCACTGACAGTAGATCCATCAATTTTTGCTTAGTAGAGAAAAACAGAACTTCCCCCAGGAAAGATCTGGATGCAGGAAAGGATGAACCATCCCTCTTGCATTTCTTGATATGAGTCCCAGCATCCTCGCTCTCATCAAACCCGGTATAAGAGAGATCAGATTCAGGAAAAACGGAAAAGTCTTGTTCAGCTGTAGTGGCGCTAAACAAGAATAGATTATCTAGCGTCATGAGATCTGGAAAAGACATGGGCTCAGCTTGGGTCATTTGTTCCACCCTCATCAGTTCAAGTAGGTTCAGGTCAAGAGCACCTACATGCCAAAAAAAAAAGAAAATTCTCGTGCAAACTTTGAAGTCGCTGATTGGAAAATCATTCTGCTACAACTTAAGTTCAGCCCTTGCCCAGGCCAGCTTGACCAAGGGCTGGGGGGCAACTGATGATACTTAGAGCAATTCCCAACTTTGAGCTCGAGAGCGGAGGCCAGATGCACAGAGCTCATAAAATCAGAGTAAAGCCCAGCCCAATCGAAGCAGCAGCGGAAGTAATAAAGAGATAGCTATTTGTCAACAGAAACCCTAGAGGCAACAAAGAGTCATAATCGAAGCATAAAACTCTCATCCAGAAAAGATCTCCTCCTAAGATCAAAGAGAATTCTTCGGATAAATGACGAAGATCTTGGGGTGAATCTCGCAAAATTAGGAAAAATCCTATAAATACTATGTAACGCCCCCAACAGAGGGCCAGAACCCTAATATCATATCTTACATTCTGTAAACCTTTTGATATAGTAAATAGTGAAGGAAAGAACAAGAATCTCCATTGAAAAGTGGATTAGCCGAGCTATCGATGTGGTGAACCACTATATTTCTACTATGTTAATTCTCCAACTCCCCAACAATTCTCAGTATCATTCCCTCGAGTTTAGTAGCTCAAATCTCAATAATTTTAATATTGTTTCTTTCATTAACTCGTCATTATAAAATTACATCACGTTAAAATACACCATTAG